AAAAAACAATTTATCATAAACTAAAACATAATAATAACCTTAATAACCTGAACAGCATTACGCTGCAATTTGCATCCATTTTTTATATACAGACGTGGCATACAATCGGTTGTATAACTCCTTGATGATACTGTTTGTGCAAGTGCCAACTCTAGACAAGAATCCAGCGATTCGCTTTCTCTGTATAGCATTAAACGTGTCCAGCCTCGCTTCTGTGAACATACCCGACGCACTACAGTGCGGGGCTAGACCCATTAGCTGTCTGAAGATGTTATTGTACTGGACACGAATACCATCCAGAGACCTCCTCGTGTAACGAGTCCAAAGTTGGCACGTGTAGAAACTTTGACAGTACGTTCTAAATAGGTGAACTTTCGTCTGGGCATTGGCTTTAAAGAATCTCCTAGCTATCATATTGCCAACGACTGACAATGCCCTGCGTTGTCTGTCTATGTCAGCGTCGTCCTTCATATCTGACGTCAGCATGTGACCAAGGTACCTGAAACTTTCTACTATTCTAACAATCTGACCTCCTAGCCAAACTGGTGGGACATTACGTGGACCTCTTCCTGATCTGAATATAAGCATTTCAGTCTTCTTCGCGTTATATACTAGATTATGTTCTCGCGCATATTTCTCACAAATCGCCAATAGTCTTCTTATACCCTTGATTGAGGGGCTGAGCAGAACCATATCATCAGCGTAACTCAAGTTGTTGACATACCTATCACCAAGCCTAAGCCCAACTGCCGTCCCACTCAGCTCCTCAATCAAGTCATTCATGTAAACATTAAATAGATCAGGAGAGGTTAACCCACCTTGTCTAACGCCACAAGACAGCCTATAGCTCTCCGACATCGCAGTCTCCCACCTGACATTGTTAGACTGATTAGAGTACCAGTATCTAATCAGTCCAACAATCCCAGCTTCAACTTTCAACCTATCTAGTTTCCTCCATAGCAAGTCGTGATTAATTGTGTCAAATGCGCGGCTCAGATCAAGGAAACAAGCATAAACGCTTGTATCCTGTTCCACATACTGCGATACAACCTGTTTTAGAGAGAAAATAGCCATGTCAGTTGATACCTCAGGTCTAAAACCAAACTGTCCATCATCCAACTTAAGTGCAGGACTTAACACCTTGTGTATCAGACGCTCAAGCACCTTGGCCACTACCGTTGCCAGCGATATAGGTCTATAGTTAGACATACTAGTAACATCGCCCGTTCTGTTCTTAATTATGGGCACAACTATCGTACGTATAAGCTCTGCAGGTAGGTACTGGTGTCGCGAACAAAGATTAAAGAGTAAGGCCAAAGTATCAGCAATATACCGACCTGCGTACAATAAGTGCTCAATACTCAAGCCATCGTGTCCCGGGGATTTTCCACGCTTCATTGCTCTGAGAACCTCCACAATATCTTTGGCTGTGACCTGAAAAACCCCCTCATCCATTCCATAAGAACTCGACAACGATGTATAGCTAACTGGATTTGGGGTAATCGGTTTTAAATTGAAATGTGCACTAAAGTTGTTGTTTAAACATGCACCATTACTTAAAGTAATGTGGTACAATCATATCGCTGTAAATTGTAATTCTAAATACTGTAGAATGTAGATATGATATTCATTAATTCCAGGTTTCCTCGGGATAAAGAACGAAGGAAGCAGTGGGAGTTAGCAGTGAACAGAGAAGACGAGTGGTCTTCAACTGCCTCCAGTGCCGTTTGCTCCGAACATTTTGAGACTAAAGACTTTTATCTGACAGAGAGTGGGCTCAGGCGCTTGTCTGTGGAAGCTGTGCCTGCTATTAATATTTCTGTAAGTAAATATTGTTTATAGAAACTAGATAAAAATCAAATAATCTTGATCACTTCCTACTATAGTTTTTTTACTTGCATGTTTGAATTGATTTATTCTATTTATTAACTAAAATAATATGTACCTACATGAAAATAATGCAAGTATCAATTTAATTGTTACTAACTATTTTCTGACAACTTAATATAGATGTTTGTATTTTGTAATAAAGATCTTTTAATAAATTACAAGATAAAAGTATAAAAATAAATGCTCATCATAAGCTTTTATATTTCAGCCATGTCAAGAGCCAGAACCAACAATATCCCGTGTTCAGCCAGTTGACATACAACCCACAGATACAGAAGAAGTAATTCAACTCAAATACAAAGTGCATAGATTAGAAATTATAGCAGAAAATAGAAAAAAAAGACTGAACCTCATGTGGCAGGGGAAACGAAGACTGCGGAAGAAGTTGGAAAGAATGAAATGTTTGGTCAAACATTTGATAAAAAATAAAAAAGAAAATGGTAGTTTTAGCTGAAATGTGGATTATAAAATGATAATAATTTAATGACTTTATATTTTTAAAAATTGATGGTCAAAATGTCCTAAAATCTGTAAGTACTTACAGAGGCCTTAGTACGAGTTTGTTTTACGCTTAAAGTAATCGTAACGAGTACGCGTTCGGTGCTCTGATTGGTTGGTTTATTGGCGACGGCCAATCAGATTGCCGAACACGTACTCGTTTCGAATACTTTAAACGTAAATCAAACTTGTACTAAGGCCTCTGTAATAGTTGTAAATATTGAACGAAAGTTCTACTCAAGTATTATTTTTTTATTTTTCTTGTAATAAAACATGTATCTTCAACAATAGGGTAATTTTATTTCGGTTTTAGTAGGTTTATTTTAATGTCTGGTAGATTATATTTTCTTTTCTCGCAAAATTAAATACTTTCGACTATATATTGTTAATTTGAATTATAACTGTAACTACCTCCCACTCCTAAACTTAACTCCATTTTATCTAAGTATTGTTACTTTATATGAGAAAATAAAAAATATGTGTCTAATATTTTTTCATCATCTAACTGACGGACTAATTACATTTTTGATTTTCATATTGTGGCAACTACCCTATTGTGTATTCTGTTTGTACTGTTTTTTTATAATTGAACCTGAAATGAAATATAACTTTGGCAAATTGAAATCAACATTTAATAATTGTAAAGAAGCTCCATGAAATAAGTAACTATCATTATTTTAACTTTTTAATAAATTATAACTATTAAGAAAGAAATAGTTTAATAACTTGAAACAAAATTTCCTTAGCTTCAGATATCCAATAAATACTACTACTTTTGTCGAAATACCTTTTTTTGATGACGGAGTGTAAACTTCAAAAGGGCTTTTTGGGGATAAAAGACTAGGTAGTGTGAGATTTTTACCTCACTAAATCACCGCGGTGGCCACCCTTAACACTTGTATGAAGGCACCGGGTCCTCTAAAAGTGACCTGTTCCGGAGCCTTAACGGTGCAACGCCTGCCAACTGAATACCTACGAAAACTAGGTAAATTTTAAACATACACTTTGATCTACTCCTCTTTGAATTGAAGCCGTGATGTTACATTTTGCTATTAACTAAAGAATGAAATGTTTAAAAATTTCAAAACTCGCGTCACTTGGCCAATATATTTATGAAAAAAGTCTCAGGTACATAATATTGTTTTTATTTATTTGTCTTGTATTTTTTGGGCACTTACATTCAAGAGCAAGAGAAAAAGAATTTGTAAAAAAAACAGTTCAAAAAAGGTATGGAAATAACAAAAAGATTCCTTCGAGCCGGATTTGAACCAGCGACCTATGGATATCAATGTTTTTGCCTCTACAGTCCACCGCTCTACCAACTGAGCTATCGAAGGTATGAAAGTGTCCGCGAAATAACGAGTCTTAAGCGTGATGTTACGTAAACTTTCTTATTTTGACGTGTATTAATTTAACGTGTCTGTAGTCAGAAGTCCGGTTTTCCAACCAACGACACTATTATCTTGATGGTCTAGTGATTGCAAGTGCAGTTGCCGAATATAAGGTGTTTAGTTAAATCCCATGATCGAGGAGGAATTATTGGATGTTTCGATTTCGAAGTTAATGGTTTGGAAGGTGTCGCGGAGAACCTAACGGGTAACCGGGGCTCCGGCTCGACGTGCAGGAGAAGGAACGGGGTGGTTTTTAGTCAGTAAGAGTCTGACACTCCCTCCCGCCTCACCCAGGCGGGAGCAGTAATTCGATGATTTACCCCCTTAAAAAAAAATGGTTTGGAAGGTAGCTGAATGTCTACTAACCGCATTCGTTAAAACATAAAAATATTTTGCATAACGTGAATTGATTAAGTTATTAATTCTAATGATTAGAAATGGCAAAACACAAACAATGGAGTGTGAATTCGCGGCACAAAATTGCAACGGTCAGCTAATGATCTAGAACGGTATCTGACCACAAGAGGCGACAGTAATTACGCGGCGCGGGCAGTCTTCCCTGATAACATATCTCTGTAGAAACCTCAGCTACAGTTATTGCCGGTTCTCGATACCGCGTCCATTGATCGTGCGCGCGCGCAGGTGGGGGCAACAACGATCTCCCACCAACCAGCGCGCCAGTACCATCGCTGCCAACATTGAGTGACGCGCGTATTTATGTTTCAAATAAAAATATAATCGATTCGAAATATTACGTTTGTTTTTATATGTAAATATAATTTGTTGAAGCTTGTGTTTGTATGAAGTGATGTCCAGTGTCCGTGTTATGTTCCGTATACCTCGCTCGTGTCCCGCGTATGTCATTGGATTCGTTTAGCCAGTTGCAACAAACGAAAATGTGACTGTTTGTTTTAATGTCAAGTTTTAATCGATCGACGATCGAAAATGGGTTTTATTGACGGTTTCTTCACGATATAATGATGAAGATGAGAGAGTTTATGAGGATTACGTTGGTGTGTGTGTGCGCTTTCCTTTTGGCAGTGCGTGAGACAAGGTGTGAGGATGAAGTGTCCGAAGTGGAGGAAGGAGGTGCCCTGAGAGGGGAGGATCAGAATGAGCAGAGGAAGGATTCCAAAGGTCCCATACCAGGTAAGCAAACATTTCTTATAATAACATAGACAAGCGACCATGTGTGACCTATGTTGACATTATAAAACGCTATAACAGAGGTAACGGTTGTTAATTTATGTAAAGAATGTGTTGTGGCGAGTAGAGGCCGTTCAGCTGTTTCTAGAGCCTGTGACTGCTAGGCACTGGGCTAGAAGTGAAGGGCTAGAGGCGCGATTTCTCTGCATCGCGTCGTGGGTAGTTCGTACGCATCGTTCTACCTAAGCACAAATTGCTGAAGATGCGAAGAGACATAATGACTGTAAAGCGATGTAGATTCTCTCCTGCAAACTATGCCGTGTTGTTTGACATAAACACGTTTTATTACGTATTTTGTACATGTTGTGTTATTTTTTCTCAATTTGCACACACGCAAACAATCCCTTCCCACGTATTTCGAAGCGTATGACTAAATGAACATTCTCGATTAGGTACGCCTCTCCTATAAATCATTTGCTTATATCGCTTGATTATAATTCATCAGTTTTGTACCTAATTGCGCTAAGATATTTTCTTATAAACCATTGCTTGATACTTATTCAGATTTCTTCTGTGTCGTGTGTGTGTTTATAAACATGCCATTTCATTTACAATCTACATAATATCACTCCCAGACTCAAAAAAACTATTTGTACATCATAATTATCAAAAATGTTCTGTGCGGGAATCAAACCCGCGACAGACTTATTGGTCGCAGTGTTGTGATTGTCATTACTGACATTAACTTAAAGTTATCTTAGTTGCCAGTTAAAATAGGGTTGAATTTCTCTGCAGATCCTTACCTGATCCTCCAGTAACTATAACTTTGTGAGACTTCTTTTACCTAAGGATATCGATAATGACTGATATGGGTATACGTAGCCTTTCTCTTCAGAGTACCTATGTACTTATGAATTTGAAAAGTAATGAACCTACGTACCCTGTACTGTACGGTACTTTAAAGGCCAAGGGTCAAGTCAGTCAGGCATGAATGAGTACCTACCCAGGTATCAATATCTATTTATTCATGATTGTTTTTTGAAGGGGGAAAATTATCAGATGACTTCTCCCGCCTTAGGTGAGGCGAGAGAGTGTTAGACTCTTACTAACTAAAACCACCCTGTTTCTACTTCTGCTCCTCAACTCGGAACCCGACAACCAAGTCAGTCGCACTTGCGACCACTCGGCCACCGAGGCAGTCTTTTATTAACATCATAAAATATCCTCTCAGTCCGTTCTTAAGCTACATTTAGCCTCAAAGACACAAGTATCATATTGCACAAAAATGCAGCCGATATTTCAGTCTGCCTAAATTTAGGAACCGGTTCGCTACTTATATGACACACCAAGGTATCACGTGTTAGTGCATGATCTACCTAAGTTGTGTTCTTAATAATATTGTGGAGCAAAACATAATAGTACCTACCTATAATTTGGTAGTAAAAATATAGTACACTACTTGTCAACCAAATAGGTAGGTATGTATGAATTAATTCTACTTCTGACTTCAAGTTGATAAATAAATCCTTATGAACTCCCTTTGCTTAGGCTAGGCACAGAATAGCAGATAGTTGGCTTGTGGAAGCCGAGGGGATTTTTGTAATCTTAAAAGAGTAAAGTTTTGGTGTTTCACCAAAAATCTCAATCATAACATAGTGAACACAAATAGAAACAAAATATACTTAAATAGGTACATAGCATAATAGTTTCCCTTCAAATCTTAATTATTCGCTGGAAACGATTCCATCACTCAGCTTAATTTATTGACGATTAAATTAACCAACTTAGCAATAATTTGTTGTTAGTTAACTATTTTAATACCTCTCAATTGAAACAATTGATCAAGCTACGTGCAATTATTCGGATTAGTTTCTCTTCATTTGTCGATTTTATTTTTAAATTACTAACGAGTTGATTGCACGCATTTGTTTTTTTTTTATGGTACGTGCTGATTGGAGCGTTTTATTTAAATTGTGCCTTTAATTGAAAAGGTATTTATAGGCCCTCTAATGGTTACAAGCTGTTCTTGATTGCACTAGAGAATCTTATCTAGAATCTAGACTAGATTAGTAGAACAGAATAGAAAATAGCGGTAAATAAATAGAAGAGTCCTAGTAAGCGAATAACAAACGGAGGCATCGACCTTCCCCGCCTGATGCCTGACGACTCTTGCGCAAGCCGTGCGAACCATTCATTTGCATCACAAAGCGGAACGTACTACATAGGCTCGGTACTTCACTAAAACTATGTTCATTATGTAATACAAGCATTTTCATTCAAAATATGCTACGAAAGTAACAATTTTCTATGGTTTTACTTGACAGCTTTATGAAATTCCATTGGACTAAAATTGCGGCTCGTTTCTTCACGTTCTTGTTGGGTACGTGTCGAGTTTGTATTAGGAAATGTAATTAACTGATTATTTATTTCTATGTATTTATACCTATCATAAATGTTTGGTCTACTTCAATATCAACCCAGTTACCTACTACTTTCCTAGTTTTACGTGACATTTTTCTGTATTTTCCAATGAATATTCCATAACTAATGCGATAAGAACAACAAATTAAAATACATAGGTAATTTATTTCATAATGAAATTTTCAACAGTCTCCTTATTGTCAAGAAGTGTTTTGTAAAAAGTTCCCTGATAGGTCAAAATGTGTTATATTCTGAAATGATTAGACAAACTAGCAACTCTAAACTATTAGGTAGGTACCTACATATTATATTATATAATAGTAGTAGTCGAATTCATTTTAACCTTAATGTCTTAAGATCCTATGGCATATTACCAAAAACTAGGGCATTACCTTTTGTCGTAATGACTAGCTGCAGAGTGCAGGTAACCCTTTGCATTTGGATGTTACGGCGTGCGTCGCTGTAGGGCGTCTAAATGCCAAGTCACAATATTATGACGAAACACATCCATCCCAGCTACTGATAAAATCTGTTGATATAAATTCAAGTAAGAATCAATTTTGGAATAATTTTAGTGAACCGTTTATGAATATTTTTGGGCATATACGAGTTGGAAGTACTTATACAAACTGACAGTGTGGAAGATATTAGAGGCTTATTAGAGCCTGGAAAATATTTTTTTTGGCAGGAGCATAGGTGTTTTAAACGATCATATGAATCGCCTGATTATAAATGATGTACATAGTACGAATAGTAGTTTGCTCTTATTGGATATCAACTACACATCTCACCAGGAGATATATTATATTAGGATGGATTGGATTCAACCTTTATTATGTACTAGAATTTATTTATATTCTAGATAACTCTACTCTATCTAAAACGGAACATGTTAAAAGTGACATTGCACATAAAGGCTTGTATTTACACAGTCAGCTTGCTAGCCTCGACACGCGGCCGCATTTAAATGATACCTTTATTGCTGCACAACACATTAGTAGCAGTTAGATAGTAATTCCTAATTCGTATTTCATATATCATTTAATCCAGTGATGGTCTAATTATAGTCTTATATTGGTACCACATGACCACAAGATGATCGCGTGGGAAATATTTTTCTCTCTCCAATTTTCATTAAAATATATAACTGCGTGACCCGATCGTAAAACAATTAAACGTGTACAACAAAATTAAGTAACAGCGAACTGCGACCCGACTCTTATTATGAACTTTAATCATTTCGCAATTTTACCTCAAAACGATTGTAATACAACATTGAATACAATCAAATACCTTATGTATGACCACGATATTTATACACGATTCTTATTTGACCCGCATGAAGCCAAGTTCACATTGTACATGATTTTTTACAATTTGCTCCGCCATTGATACCCAATTCATGGAAGTACCTACCTACATACACACCTACTTACTGTGTACTCAGTACTCCATAGACACGTCAGTAGGTCCTTGTAAATGTCAATGATGATCACTGATCAGTGAATCACTGTTTTTGAACAAAATATTTTGCAATATTTTTAGATCAATAGTGATAGAGTATTGTTATAAAGATGACCTTCGTTCTTCGATATGATTTGTGGACTTGTCACCTCTTTATTTGAAACGTTTCGATCATAAAGCGTCCATTGATTGATATTTTGGTTGTTGCCAAATGCTGTGTTGGTGTTAATGTTAACTGTTTGTTTGTACGACCTTGTTAATTAGTGGAGATTCATATCTTTTTCAAGTATGTGCTACTTTTCCAATGTTATAAAAATTACATTTATACTTCTAAGATTTATTTAATTGAATTTTTATGGTTTGCAATAGGCTGAAATTTAAATGTTTTTGTCACCATTTTTCACCCTTTCGTTTTCACGAATTCACGTTTTATCTTTTAAGATACCTATATTAATACATGTGTACAACTTACCTATATTCCGAGGTTGACGTTAATACTTTATGTGGTAAAAATATTCACACCGTTTACGATTTATTTCACCACTAATCTTTAGATCTGGGGGAATTCTGTTGGAATCAATAATGTTTTCGAAGAATTTATAACATAAATAGCCACTATTGCGTACATTTTATGCATCAATAAATTGTTTCACACTGACAAAGGTAACACCCACTCATATCGCTGGGAAGTTACCATGGTCTATGCATATGTACCAATAACTTTGTTAATCCATGCTATTACTGTACATTCGAAACTTCTCTCTGATTGGTCTTACTTATCTTGTCTCTTTCAGTAATAAATTCTATAATTTCATATTCCCTGCAACACCTGTCATACTTAACCTCATCTCTACCCAACAAAAATTAAATAACACCAATACGAGTTGTATCTCTATAAAATTTAAAGCCAGTGGAACGCAAGTACCGTGTCATGTGCCATCACATTATCCAACATCAATAATACAAGTCAATCATACAAAACGACGCATTCGGCCGCTTCCTGCTACATTCACTAAACAATGAAAAACGGAATTTCCTTTGTGGAACAATATGTACTGCGGTACATACATACGTACTTAGTTATTATTGTATGTATGGGAGCGTTTTCACTGCCTATTGTAGCGTTTGTAGGTAATACAAATACGTTTTTTACGGTGTGGTTGTATGGTTACCATTTTTTTTATGGAACTAGTTCTTGTGGTGGTCCTTGTTGATGTAGTTGGTAGTCAGCACCATTGCTGTAGGCACTGGAGCAAGGAACTTCTGGATTGAATTAAGATTTACAATTTATAAAAGTTCTCAGTATATGGCAAAAGGCTTCAGCGAGTAAGCTTCCAGGTTCTGTATAGGTACCCTTCGACATGTAAAAGATATGGTGTTACAATGAAGCCTTTTATGACAGTTATAAGTCATAAATTTCATGGAGATATATATTGTTCAAGATATTGATTTACGACCATTTTCTACGACCTATTTTGTATGGAGCTTATGTCAAAATTCTATCTCAGTAAGCAAATCTACAGATAGACAGGTTATAGAAAATGGCCGTTAGTAATGTTAGTTCAAGTAACTGTGGTTTCAAAGTGTGATCACGTGTCCTAAGATTAGATCGGCCACATAAAACTATATTATATTTTAAATTACAGTTTAGTGTGGTTTTTTCCATTTTGTTACAAAATTACTTTCGTATAAGGTTACGATAAAATAAAATAAGTAATATGGTTCTGTTGAATGAATTGTTCTTCTTGCATGAAAAACATATTTATTTTATGGCTAACATTTATTTTATGATTTAGGATATTTTTGTAGTTTGAATTATTGGATAGATAGATTGCCTCGTTGGCCGAATGGTCGCAAGTGCGACTGCCGGGCAAGGCGTCTCGGGTTCGATTCCCGGAAGTATCACTGGGTTTTTAAAAATCTCAGTAGTAGTACGGAGTCTGGAAATGTGCCCGGTATTTGGCAATAGGCTCACCCTCTATTACATGAGACTCATAACATAAATAGTGAAAAGTAAGTTCCGAAATGTGCACCTCTGTCTAACCTTTCGGGGATAAAAAGGCGTGATGTTATGATGTTATGTTATGAATTATTGGATTTCCCGAACTTGTTATGTGTAATATTAGTGTCAGTTAAATTGACTACGAGTGCATCGATCGCTTACCATTAATTGATCCATATGTTTGGTTGACCCTATTCTATAAAAATAGATAGGTATGTAGTTATTAAAGAGGAGACTACAGTTAAATATTGTTACACATAGATTGGCTGTCCAAAAATCCTTGAACACACGTATTTAATGAAAATGTTTAACAGTTAACAAACAGTGAATATTTCGACAGAGCTGTAGATATAATTTGTACGGTTCAGAATGTGTTAGTTGGCATCCGTTCAAGTTTGTACCCCTTGAAACCTTTGAAAGTTGATGAAGGTTACTTTGAGTAGGTATAACATATATATTAGAAGCAACAAAATTTATGTTCGGAAATCGGAAAATAGGTGAAGATGGAAGGGTCTGTACTTGAAAGTAAACCGCTATTACAAAAAATAGTCTGAGATAGTCTTTTCTGTAAATTACAGGTTTCGTTTATGAACTCGTTAACTCTTAATCCGGTACACAAGTTCAGTTCATTCTCTTCAGTTAACAAATTAGCATACAGCTGATTAAATATTTTCGATTTACAAGTTCAAGCTACTGTTTAAGCTACTGCAAGTCGATATCTATCGATACTAAACAAATTGCCCTGTCACTGTCCGGTTACCTAACAAAGAGAACAATTCAATCGCTGCCCATTATCACTCCACTTAATTACATAATGCTACATTTTTATCGTTGCTTTACGTACGGTACACCTAATTGACACTGTGACGTATTGGAAACGCCATTTTTACTGCGATTATCAACCTTAAATCAAACACGATAAGGCTAAGAAAAATACAGGTGAGCCCTAAAATAGAATGCGTTCCGCTATGCGCACGCTGCTTGATTTTAAACATGTATGTTGCGCAAAACTTACTAAATACATATTGAATAACTGCTTAGCCTAATTTAAACTTTGTGATGTTTGTTATAAGGTTTAAATTGGTTGGTGTGCTGCATATTTGGACTAGGTGAAGTTACGGGTATGTTACATGAGCATATTGTTGCAATTAACGTTAATGCCGCTCGGTTTCGATTACAAACGCGTTCTATTGTTATTTTGTAATATCCTCGTCCTGCTGACGAGCCTCCTGCCTCATGTGCTCATTGCACGGCATTTGTGTGGGAAACGTTTGTGTTTCAAACAAGTTCAATGGCCCCTGTAACGTTTTCTCTTTAGTTCAAGTGTCTACTAATATTAGAAATTCTAAGTAAGCACTATGTTATTTGTCAAAATGTCATTACATACTACCTATCGCTACATACTTGCTGACTATAATGACTTCAATATATTTTTTTATGTTATGTACTTTATATAAATTGCACCATTATGCAGTTTATATTTTCGTTGTAATTTGTTTTTTATTACTTTGCAATACGGATGTTTTCGATCATTTCCGTGGTTCATGAGTTACGTCAAAGTTACAACACATCTCTACATGGATGTGCGTCAGTTGCGTTTGCGAACTTGATTCGTGCGAGCGTATATACTTACGCTGCTTGATAAATCGGTTTCGCGATTAGTGCTACACAAATAAAGTTTATTGATATTATTGATATTACCTAATTATGGAGAATGAAGAAGAAGAAAGTAGTGATAATATGGAGATAATACGTACTTGTGAAAGTGATTTGGATAAATCATTAGAACCAACAATAGTCAAAAAGTCAATATGTCAAGAAGTAATCAAAGAAAATGTAAAAAAAGCAGCTGAGAAGAGAAAAGAGAGAGGGAGTGAAATAAGTGATGATGATGACTTTATTACTGTAAATAGAAGGAGACCTAAACGATTAATTAGAAGCATATCAATTGAAACACAAAATGACAAGGAGGTAGACGGAGAAAAATTAAATGATTTAAATAACACCACTCAACCCGAAGTATGTGTAACATCTTTAGAAAACATACCCAAACAGATGGCATTAGCTAAATTATTAAGATCAGAAAACATAACAAATGTAACTAGAATAAAATATAAAAGTTTTAATAAAGTTATTATTCAATTTAAAGAAAAAAAGGATGCACTTAAGTTATTGGAATGTGAAAAATTTAAAGATATGGGATGTCGATGTCAATTAATAGATGAGTTGTCCCTATCCTATGGTGTGGTTAAAGGAGTAGATCTGGAATTACTTGAAAATGAGCTAAGGAATATATTTGAAAGTGATACTGAGATAATATCCGTAAAGAGATTGCGACGTATAGACTCGGAAGGTAAATGGATTGAAAGTGAATCCGTGAGAATCTGTTTTAAAAGCAATCATCTACCGAATTATATATATGCCTATGATTGCCGACTTAAGGTTGAACCGTATGTATTTCCTGTTACACAATGCTCTGGTTGTTGGAAATTTGGTCACATAATAAAGTACTGTCCAACAAAAAAAAAGATATGTCCAAAATGTGGGGGCAATCATGATAATTGTGATACAACTAAAATATCATGCCTTAATTGTAAGGGAAACCACTTCGTATTGGATAAAAACTGTCCGTTTTTTGTAAAAGAAAAGAATATAAGAAAAATTATGAGCACTGAACAAGTCACATATAGAAAGGCCCTTCAGATATTAATAGAACAGCAACAACAACAACGTAATACTTGTTTACATAATAACTTGCGAACTTCAATGGACACACACATAGACAGTGACGCGCCGGCAACATTTAGTAGTATATTAAAAAAATCAGTGCAAAATTATGCAGTAAGACCTAATAGTAAGATCATACAGAACAAAAGCAGAGACAATCCAATGCAAAAAAAAACAACTCAACAGCAAGAGATACCTCAGGAAATACTATCTATAAATAATAACAATAACAACCATGGCGAAAAAACCACTACAAAGAAAAAGCGGTATAGGAATGAGACATTAATGGAAGAAGATATCGATAGTTATGACTCACAAAATGAAGAACAAAACTATCAAAGAGATGAACACTTACTAAACAAATTTGATTTTAAGAAATTTATAATTAAGCTGAATAGAATATTTGTGTCAGATAAATCATTTGAAGATAAAATATTATCACTGTTTAAAATTGTATATGAAGAATTCAAGAAGATTATAATAGGTTGTTTTATGAAAGGAAACGTCCTTGATAAAATTATTAACTTTATTAATGGATAATTCAAATAAATATGTCAAGGTCAATATAATTCAATGGAATGCACAAAGCTTACAACCTAAGCTAAGTTCGTTTACAGATATATTACAAAAACTAAATATACATATTGCAATCGTGAGTGAAACATGGTTAGATAGTGAATCTAATATTCATGTAAGTGGGTACAATATTTATCGAAAAGACAGAATAGATTCCTATGGCGGGGTTGCGATTTTTGTGCATAAATCCATACGATCACATTTTAATTCATGTCAACTTTTGAATACTGGTATAGAAGTAGTAAGTGTTAAATTAGTGAACTGTGAAGATTTAGAAAATATTGTTTCTTTATACTGTCCATCTTCTGTGTCTACGCAGCCGTCAGACTGGGAACAGGTATTTTCATTATTTTCGGAAAAGTCATTAATTGCTGGAGATTTCAATGGCCACCACGTCAATTGGTCAACTAGAACTGATACAAGAGGAACTCATTTAATGGACTCCTCTCTTGAAAGTAATTTTATTTATCTCAATGATTCTAATCATACAAGAATTAAATTAGTTAATGGATATTTGCAGAAAACGTCTCCAGATATATCTTTTGCCTCCTCTGACATTGCTATAAAAATTAACTGGACAGTAATCAATGAAAATTTAGGTAGTGATCATCTTATGATTAAAATGTCAATAAATATCCCTAATAATTTCACTGTGTTTAAAAAAAGGAATTATAAAAAGGCTAATTGGACTAAATATCGAGAGTTTTTATCGGAAATAGTGTATCCGAAATTCAATAATGTACAAGATATGTATAACTTTTTCGTGGATAGCATTAATATGGCTGCTAATAGGTACATTCCATTTATTAAAAGTTGTTCCAAACCTGCACAAACATTTAAACCAAAAAACTATTGGACGCCAGAACTTTCCCACATTGTAGCACAACGCAGACTAGCTTTGTCAAAATTTCGACGCAATCCTACACCTGATAATTTAACTAGATTAGAAAATAAAATTGCAGAATCTCATAAAATGATACAAAAAGCGAAATCGTTAGGGTGGCAAACATTTTGTGATTCCATTGACCAAACAATGTCGACTTCTAATATGTGGCGACATATGCGATGGATAAAGGGATATAAACAATCAGTTAATCATCCCCCGATAGAAAAACAAAAAGAATTACTTCGTTCCTTGTCACCTGACTATGTTTCAAATAAAATACCAGATTTTTTGTCCAAAAATGATATACTAGAACGTGACTTTAATATGGAAGAATTGGAAAACTGTATGAAGAAAAAAGATACCGCACCAGGTGAGGACGAGATTTCATATTCTATGATTCAAAATATTCCTAACATAACTAAAACTTATTTACTTAGCTTATACAATAACATCTTTAAATCAAGTATTGTACCTACTCAGTGGCGAAATATTCAAATAATACCAATTCCTAAAGCTAATAACACTTCAGAAGATATTAAACTAAGACCCATATCTTTAATATCGTGCTTATGCAAAACATTTCATTTAATGCTGGTAAAACGTATGGAATGGTTTACAGAACATAAGAAAATATTGTCACCCTACACTGTTGGCTTCAGAAAGTCTTTGTCTTGTTTAGATTCGCTTGTTCGCTTAATTAACTACATACAGATTGGTTTCTCAAAAAATATCCCTACACTAGCATGTTTCTTAGACATTCAGAACGCGTACAACAATGTATCAATTGATTTAGCAGTTAATATTCTAGATAAACTACAATTTGGATCTCAGATTTGTTCTTACATTTTTGCTTTTTTGAATAAAAGATATTTAAAAATAAAATCAGATAATATTGATACTATAGGGACCAGATGGACTAACAAGGGCTTAGCCCAGGGAGATCCGTTATCTCCTTTACTTTTTAATTTAATTACTCATACAATTTTCCATCTACCGCTTAATGTAGTGATATCACAATACGCGGACGATTTTGTTATTTATACAAAGAATAAGGATCTTAAGAAATGTGAAGCTTGTATACAAAATGCATTGGATTATATAGTCGGAAGGTTGGCTGATCTTGGTCTTGAGCTGTCCCCAAGTAAGTCTACATATTGTATTTTTAGTAGGGGTAGACGTAGAATACTACCACATCTTAAAATAAATGAACAGTTACTCAATTCTTCGGAATGCACAAAATATTTGGGTGTGTGGTTGGATCAAAGTTTACGTTGGGGAAAACACATAAATGAAATAACAAGTAAGTGTTTAAGATATTTGAATATATTAAAAATATTAACAGGGAGTTCATGGGGAGTTCATACAAAACATATCCGTAAATTGTATTTGTCATTAATTCGTAGCCGATTAGATTATGGTTCATTTATTTATGATTGTAGTGCAAAATGTCACATCTCCAAGCTCGATAAATTACAAAACCAAGCTTTGCGTATCATAGGTGGATATATTAGGACCACGCCGATCCACGTAATGGAATCTGATTTGTGTATCCCTCCATTATATTTAAGAAGGGAATTTTTGGCATATAAATATTGTCTTAAAGTAAAATCATGGTCAAATAATATCACTGTAGATCTTATATCGGAATTGAGTACACTGTGTTTAACCTCCTACTGGGAAAACAAAAAGAAACCCCTATTAGTAAAATCATATAACGATACACAACATTTAGAAATTATAACATCACCTATTCTAAGAATGTTTTGTTTAGATACATGGACAACTTGTATAGGGATCAAAACAAGTATAAAAACTGACCTTGAATGTCTGCGCGGTGCTAAATCAAACTATAATCCTATCGTTTTGTTGAACAATTTATTAATGGAATTAAATAGTAATTACAGTGGATGGCACAAAATTTTTACTGATGGATCGAAAAGTAGTCAGGGTTTAGGAGCTGGTCTGTTCGATCAGAATTTGGGTAGAAAATTAGGTTTCAAAATAAATTGTAATGTATCTATCATGTCGCTGGAACTTATTGGAATTCATCAAGCAATAGAATATACATTAAACCAAAATCTAAATAGGGTGGTGATATTTACAGACAGCAAAAGCTCACTGCTACATATAGCTCGATGTGCCTCTGGTTACAGCAGAGGGGCATCGATAGCTTATGACATTTTGAGAAATCTAAATTCTCTCATTGAAAATGGCAGGGAATTTAAATTGCAATGGGTTCCTGCACATATTGGCTTACGTGGTAATGAAGAGGTTGATCGTATATCTAAATCGGCTGCAGTCGATGGTAATATAATTGACTATGTACCCGATTACTGGGAATACATAACACAATTTAGAACAGTATGTTTTGATTCTTGGAAACTACATTTCAACAATATTTCACAAAATAAAGGCATTTGGTATAAAAGTATCCAAGATCAACCTTCTCGAGTGCCCTGGTTTGATAATACTGTTTTTAATAAATATTATGTTAAATTAGTCTTGAGACTTCGTTCCGGACACTACCCATCGGCTAAGTTTGCATTTCTTATGAAGAAGAACAATTCTCCAAATTGCACAGTTTGCAATAAAGTTGAGGATATGCAACATTTGCTGATGGATTGTGTCCGGAATGAGCGGGAACGTGAGTTACTCATTAGAGAACTAAAACTTAATAAACTGGATGTAGGCTTAATACAGTCAATTCTGTCTTCACCATGTTCAGAAACCACAAAAAAATTTTGTAATTTAGTCACAATAGGTACTTGATGAGTAACTCAATTTCCTTTCTTTTTATTGTTTTTTTTTTTGTATTTTGTTTTTTTTAAATTTTGTATGTATTTGATAGGTCACATTTTGTTAAAAGGTATGATGGGGTTGGCATATCAAAGATAAAAACCCCTTAAATAAAAAACAGATTAAAAAAAAAAAAAAAAAAATGGATGTGCGTATAATCAGTTAAGTAAATAAAGCGTGTTATGTTTGGCAGGCTAAAGCTTCAAGTTCATCGCCTACTTAATAATATGAAATTAAATAAGACAAGGTCACATGCGTGGGAGCAAAACTTAATGTGTACCTACTGTGTACTAAGTACGTCCGTATACTTACCACTAGTCACTACTTGAGTCTCTTAGTAACCCATTCATTAAATTTATTTTAGCTAATGAAATCTAATATCATCATATTACTGCTATGTTCAATCGTTTTTCTTTTTGAACATAACGCTGTGACCAAAGCAATCGTTCTCTACTGGGTACATACGTAATTTAGAAACTGTGGAAAATAAAACAATTTCAAAATTTCCATTCTGGTAAATAAATTAGCTGCAACTTTTACTTAACACTACGATTACTCCGAATCATCAAGATGAAACTCGCGGCCATATAAACGAAGAATGTTATTAAAACATGCGCCCGCGACGCTCGGATGACTTCACTCTCGCCTCAAACACCCACATACAATCGTGAGACACACAAAGAAAGGATGTTAACAAGAACAGGAGTAAAGGAAATTGATTGTTATTTGAAAATTACTCAAGTGTTGGGTACCTACCATAAGGAAATTAAAAAAGAAAACCAGTAGTCCTTTTTTATGGAGCACGAAAAGTTATTCAAACTTTTCACAATTTGTCGTAATGTAGTTCCAATTAGAAAAAAAAAATAACAAAGTGTGGTTAGATTTAATACGGCCATATGTTGAAGTTGTGCAATCTATAGTTTTTAATGAAAATCACAAAATAATTCCGCTATAAATTTATTAGAGACGAATAGAGAATCATGATGATGATGATGATTAGTCAACATCTATAAAATATGCAAAAGTTCGATTGCGCAGTACTAATTCGGATGGTAAACAAAATCTTCGATCATTCATGGTTTTGGAACTAGTACATTAAGTACATAAGTAATCAGTAATCACCATTCTCATGTCCTTCCGTACTAAGTACGTACCCATATATCCCTAAGCGGTCATCGGTGACCGCTCTCCCCTAATTACATTATAGAGGTAGACCTTATTTCCGATGTTTAGGGACTACTTTTGTATGAACAAATTTAGGGTATGATATTTCAGATATTTCAACAGGTTAAGAAAAAAGGAA